TGTGTCTCTTTCAACAAGTTTATGACCTCTCCGATGACCTTCTGGAAAGTTGAAAAATTCACGCTGACAGGATAATGAAGTCCAAGGTTTAAAAGTAATATACTGGAAGTTTGCTGTAATTCTGTCGTATTAAGGACTCCGCGAATGGCCTTTAAGACTTCCTCAGCGCGGAAGTCGAGGCTATCGTTTTTCTTCCTGCTTTCTTGTACGTTGGTTACTGGATAGAGCCAGTTATAACTGTTTTTGCATTTCAAGTACAGCTTCTTACAAAGGGCTCGAGAGCTGATTGGCTGATAAAGGCGAACCCCTAGTGAATCACCGTACACCCAGAAAGTGCCAGAAGAGCTATGGTTTGCTGGTAAGGACCAGTTGTATGATTCTGTAAGTTGGGAAACATTCAATTATGTTAGGAATTCCTTTCATTATTTACCATACACTTTGCGTCTAAGTCTTACAATTGAAACTAATTTCAAACGAATGCTGGCAAAGTAAATGTCTTCTCCTGTTCTTCTAATCTGATTTTGCCAATAACGAGTAAGTTCTCACCTTCAAGGTAGGGCCGCCAAGTGTCATTCCTCCACCGACCAAATCCATCCCACAAGTTATTGCATGTAGAGGAGCAAGGCTTCAGAGAATGAAGTTTGTCTATACAGAAGAAAGATGGAAGAAACAATGGATTGNCTCACCACTTACACACTCGCAGCGTTTTCGCCAAAAGTTCTTAAAATAAACAGTCTTCTACAGAAGCTCCCTCTTTCGGGATAACTTTCCAGACAGTCGGTCGCTCCGACAACAACTATTATTACTACAAAACTGAGTCCTTCATGATATACGTTTACAAAATATTCTCGAACATTTCGGAAGATACACAACTAACAATTTTGTTAGTATGCCACCATAATTACGTGACCTAATAGAATGTTCCAAAAAGTTCCATGGCATTACAGAAGAAAGTTCGTTGATCCATGTCAGCATGACTAGGCATTCTAGAAATTTCAAGATACTTATCTTTCTCCCAGGTTACTTACCATCTAATGAAAGGCTCATCTCTGCTTTTGTTACTTTTATCTCGAAATAACTTCCGTTCTGAAGGGGCTGTAGCAAGTAATCATCTAGAGGGCCTAGAAGACCCTCTCGCTGAAATTTCCCTTGAGCGTTCCCCATAATAAACCAGTCACGTGGTGGGTCCTTGAAACCATCGCACAGACTATAATCCAGGTAAACCAATAGCTGATAGACACCAGGCTCCATGATAAGAAACAGAGCTTCATAAGTTCCATTACTGTAATCAAAAATAGTCGCCGCAATGCTTGATGGGCCACGTAGGTAGACCCTCCAGGTGTCTCCACCAATATCTTTCGTTCTATTATCCGACGTTTTTGATTGGATAAATATCTCACTGTACTCTCCTGCAGGCCTTATGTCCTGAAATATGATGTCACTTGTAGAGGCGTTGGTTCTATTCGGTTTTACCCAGCCAGCCTTCACTTTTCGCCAGGCCATATTGTCAGAACACGAAGAGATTATGGCTTGCCAGTCCATGCGTGCGCGGCGCTGACGCAGCCACTCCCGATGGAAATCGTTGATTTTATTCGCTTTGCTTGTTTTTGTTAAAGAAGGAAATAGCAGGTGGTCTATCAAAGGAGTTAATGCAAGAGTATATAGCAGCAAGAGGCAAAAACAGAGGACGATTGGCCTGAAGGGAAAACATTCAAAAGAGATTAAACGTTTCATGTGCGCTGTAAAACTTGATTCTTCAATTGAATAAGGAATTCCAGATGAAACTGCGAAGAAAATTTCAAGTCTTAATATAACTCATGCACGTAATATGACTCGTACACGTCTCGGTCCATAAAAATGCAAAAAAAAGAACTCGGCAAAGACCAAGCCATCTTGACCTTACGCTTGGTCAATGACGCACACATCCTACGACCCGTAGGATATATGCTCGCGCAATCCCATAGAAAACCATAGTAAGGGCTGACGTGTGCGGGGCCGGACGGGTTGACGTGAGCCTGTCCGGAAAAAGCCGTGCGGCCCTGCTACCCTCACCTCCCTTAGGTAAAGATTTTAATTGTAGAATATTTCTGTACTCGTGTGACTGCGTGTGACGGTAGGCGTAAAAACTCAACACAGACCATCGAAGCACACAGCAACAAATGCATAATCAGTTTTTGCTTGTTGTGATCTTAATAATATTTCCTTGTTGACTAAGTGAGAGGGCTGGAAGGGAAATTTGGCCTGAGGTCATGACGTACGGACCTAGCGGAGCGAGTAAGTTCCCATCCGGCCCCTCCAGTCAGTCAATAACTACATATTATTTGCATCACATCGGACAAAAATTGAATATTGGCGAAACAAAGCACAAGGACAGCACGCGCGACTACGAAAGTTTTAATTTCGAAGATTCTGTCGATCACACTGCGACTGCAATAATCTAGCTCACGAATTTCTCTCTTGCTACAAGTTACGAGGTGTTTTAGTCAGTTCACAAACACTATCATTTTCATTGTTACGCAGCGAGAGAAAGACATTGAGTGGATGAGGTTATGAAATTGCAGTGCTACAGGTAATAGGTTATGGGAGCACTTATCCCAAGTTTTAGGTCTCTTTGTTTTCCCAAACTTAAGATATTCGTCGAAATGTTTTGAGAAAATTTCCAACGGAAATCCTATTTATACTAATGAATAAAGGCTGTAGTTGCTAAAGAAACTGTTTGGGGCTGCGTCGGTGGGGGTAACGAAATAATTTGAATATATCAACAAAGTTGAAATGGTAAATTGGCCACCGTTACGATTAGAAAAGCTGACGTTTCGACCGCTAGCCCTTCGTCGGAGCGAATAGGGGAATTGTGTGTTGTGTGTGCTGACCGATTTCGAGAACACCTTCGCGACGTGGAGAGGAATGACAAGGACACATCGAAACCAGTCGCTAGACATTTTAATTTACCTAATCATTCTAAGCAACATATGGCAATCTGCGGTCTTTCCTTATCTATCATCTCATATCCAACGCACGCTCGTGGAAAAATTGTTATCAATGTGACTCTCAATCGCTAATATCTGAATTCTGCAACGGAATTTGTTCGTTTGTGCAAAGTTAAGCGAAGTTTCGAGTTCTTCTATAAATACACTTTCGCCTATTCTTTGCAAGTCCCTTGAATTTGGACATTTCTACCGTAAATTTCACAACAGTAACCGAAGGAATTCGATGAATATAAGTCGCATTAAATCCCTTTGTGTCTAGCTAGAAAGAGTCTCATCGACCTCAGCTTTTCGGTGGAAGAAAAACCGATTTACATGAGTTTGGGTTTTGGTCGAGGGTCGAGGGTCGAGGATAAAATGTCGAGGGTCGAGGGTAAAATGTCGAGGGTCCGAGAAAAATGTCGAGGGTCCATAAAAAAACTAAAAATTGTAAATTTTAAAAAAAGATATTGTGGAGCAGTACTCTCAATTTCTCGTGCTCTATAAGCGTTTCATTGATGAGATTTTTGTTATTTGGTGTGGACCCAGGGATACCCTCCTGAAATTTCTTGGTGCTCTTAATACCAAAAATGATCGAATTAAGCTTACTCATTGTATTAGCGACAGTAGTATTTCTTTTCTAGATTCTTGTCTGTATAAGGATAATTCCTCAAGCGTGCTGCAATTTTCTACGTATAAGAGGCCTCTTAACAAACATCTCTACATACCATTCGAGTCGTTTCACCCCTCTAGCAATAAGAAAGCTTTTATAAAAGGGGAGCTTATGAGATATGCTAGAAGCAGCTCTTCCTTTAAGTCTTTCTGTGAGACTAGGGATAAGTTTTGGAAGCGACTGCGACTTAGAGGCTATCCTTTTAAGTTTTTACTGCCGCTGTTTCACGGTGTGCGTTACCACGACAGGGAGACCTGGATCTCCCGGCCACCTAAACATAGATCTCAGACAAGCAGGACTCTTGTCTTTACTACGTTCAACTGCAGTCACGCCCGTATTAAGAAGGTTATCAGTAATATTCTGCCAGACTTAGATTGTACTGTGTGTTACAAGAAAACTGTAAGAATAGCTAATCTATGTAAGTAAGTTTTTGGGGGCCACGGTTTTTAGCTAAAACCGTGGCCCCCAAAATATTTTTCTCACCTTGCCTTACACGCGTTAAAGTTTTCACAAATTTTTCACAAATTTTTCACAACTTCGCCTGTTCCTGTTCGTAAGTCCGGCCAAGCCTTTACGGTTATCGGCGCCTGTAACTTTGGCTTATAAATACAGGCGTTTAGTTATACTTGTAATACTCCCTGAAGAAATCTACGACAGTTAGACGAAACGCGTAGGAAAACAAAAGAAGTTTTACAACTACCGTTTGCAGAAGTGCTGCTCACTAGTCTATATTTAAAAAATTAAAAAATCACAAAAAATCAAACATTTTTTTTCGTGTCAATCTTTTGTCAGACGTTGCTAAAAGCCTCTCCACTAGCGCACGACAGGAACATATCTTTTCGATGTTATGCCATGTTTGAGAAACTTTTATTCCAGCTCATACACTTAGTATTGTAAACATTAACTCACAAACGAAAATTATTTATTCAGAAAATTTTGATTTTGTCGCATTCGGAGACAGCAAATCTTGAAACATACCATCGATAAAAATAAAAAAATACTGAAACAACAAACCAGTATACCAGTACAAATGTGTCTCTCTTGAATGTGAAGTAATCAGTGATCTTCATGGATCGTTTGGGTCCCGATATTTTCTCAGCGTTGTAAATGAAAGGAAAAGTTTTGCATCGTGCGCGAGCGCATTTAAAAGTGCCGGGTTGGTCATTGGTTTGGAATGAACTTCTTATCAAAAAATTGCCTATGTTTTTGTCGCGTTTGAATGAAATGAGCTGAGGTTGCGAAAAGATAGTGCCAGTCTCTGGATCGTTTTGAAGTAATTTAAATTTTTTAAGAATAATCGATTTAACTGAGTTGTTGTGAGGGTGGTACGTGAGAGTAAATGGAATGCTGTCGGAATTCTCCTTCTATGACTGTCGATCAATAAGTTGGGCGCGGTGGTGACCCGCTTGAACGATAGAAACAAGGTAACCACGTTTTTCGAAAAACTGGCATATTTACTCTGATTTGTCGAAAAAATTAGAGTCATCACTACTGACATAAACGACGAAGTCTTAGAAACTGAGAAAAGGGAATGGAATCCTTAGCATATGGATGCGAAGATGAATACAGAAGTAACTATGTGAGTCTGTAGGTTTGAAATACACATTAATGCATAAACCGTTGCCTCAATTGAAACTTTGATGTCTAAAAAGGATAAAGAATTGTCGGAAATTTCCCAGGTATATTTTAGAGCCGAGTGAATGGAATTGACTGCGGTTATGAATTGAGTTAGCCCCTCTCTGGTAGAGGAGGTAGTGCCGATACAGTCGTCAATGTAGCGACCGTAGAGTTCAGGTTTGGGGCCGTTATACTGACTAAAAAATTGGTGTTTGACAAAACCTACAAAAAGATTGGCATAGCCAGGTGGGCCCATTTTCTCGGCTGGCAGTTGCCCTACCAAACTTATTTCCAGCTATTTAGACAAATTTATGGCTCCCATCGTCAAAACTTTACCATCATATATCAAAGACAGCCAACGCACTCTTCAAAGTTTTTGCGACTTTAATTTCCTTGGTTAAGACAAACTTATTTTCACTATGGACATCGAATCTCTTTATACTGTCATTCCTAATGGCGAAGGTCTACTGGCCCTCAAACATTTTTTTGATCAACTCACTGTTGAGGAACCTAATTCTGAAACACTACTTCGCTTAGCTGAATTAGTGCTCCCACTCAATTGTTTTTCATTCGGGGATAACTTTTTCAAACAAACCTATGGCGTAGCCATGGGTACCAAAATGGGACCCAGCTATGCCAAAAGGTAAAAGTTTCTAAGAAACTGTGCTGCTGCATCGGCAGGTGTAACAAGGTAATTGGTTATATCAACTCTGACGAATGGCTGACGCTCGAAACGTAAGCTTTTTAACTCATTGCAGTGGCCAATTTACAATTTTAACTTAGTTGATACAACCAATTTTTGTAGTATAGTTTGTTAGGGTTTTCTTGAAACTAGTGCGCGTCCGAATTTATTCCCGGAGGACACGCGCGAAGGTGTGAAGTAAAAAAATCTAACATAGAGGACACAGTAGAGGACACAAAATAATTTGAAAGAGAATGGAAACGAGCTGCCGCTGAATCTGCCAAATCTCCCATGTTACTTTGCGCTCCTCTTCTGGCGCGAAAAAGGAATACGGGGTTTGGAATACGGCGGATGACAATAAACTGTAACGACTTGCAACCTCGAGAGCCCTCTCTTTAGCACAGATCAATCAAGTCAGGAACCTCTCGAAAGAAAGAAAAATGCCGTGGGATTCTGTTGAAGTGGGATTAGCAGGAGGCGAAGAAACAGTTAATTTTGGACCAAGAAATGAAAGCGGTTCGTCGTTATATCAAGTTGATACTTTGGCGAGCGTGTCAGCCGGAGGAGAGGTAAACAGCTAGTTTAATTTAGCATATGTACTGAAAAATTAGGCTCGACTTGGTAAGTAATGCTAAAAGCAGCCTAGTTTGGAGTTCTTGTGCCCCAGGAAAAGAGTCTGAAAAAAAAGTAAATTAGCCATCTTGGCTGCGGTATACTTTCATGTTTTTACAAGCATATGCATATCATGCATTTTGAGCATAATTTTTATGATTAGTAATGATTTCAACTTCACCTGAATATCTCTCCTGATTACAAAAATCAGAAAATATTATTTTTTTCCAAAGGGAAATTAGAAGATCTTAGGTTCGTATTTATTTCTGTTCAGTTAAAACAGCTTCCCGAAAATGGCCCGAAGATGGAAAATATTACGCCAGTGTATTAGGCCTGGCGAGGGATTTGGGTATCTTAGGTACATTATACATGTATGTACCCTTATTCTTTTCCCTTGGGTTTACGGTATCACAATACTGGTGTTGATTGTCTCACATTTATCACGGGCAAGTTATAGATATATAGACACGAGTCAAAAACTAGAGAAAATTATAGACTTATTTTGTTTGGATGGTCATATTTTTGATCGTCATGGTTTTCTGAGTTTTGTAATAAATATCTTAATAGTATAACTGAAAAGAGAATTGTTCTAATTGAAATCAATAATTTAACAGATACAGAGTTGTCCTCATATTTGTGGTGCTTCCTGTTCAGAGGGATTTTGTTTTGTTGCTTCATCACAAGTGATCATGTTCGATGCAAGTTGCAATGATGTTCTTGCAACATTAAATTTTGGTAAGAAAGTAACTCTTTCAAAGACACTGAGTTTGATAGGATTGGTTTGTTTGTATACAATGTGTGTTTTTTCGCTATTGCTTAAATAGCGTTATCTACTGCGAGGATCGTGCATCATACGTATCAAATACCGCAGTTCAAAATATATAATTTTCATATATTTATTCTATCTCACACATAGCTTTATATATGTATATTTGTTTTGGTCAGCGCAGAAGAATTTTTAGACCCTCTGCACGGGTTTCAATGAATTTTTCCATGGGTGGCTGATGATGGTGTTATGGGGCTTTGCCTTTAAAGGGGCCTTAAGGCCAAAACCCAAACAAGAGAACCTGCCTGAAGGCTAAAAAAAAGGGCTGTAAGAGGTCTCTTAGGCAACCTAGACCACAGGTAACTAGCTTTCAATGACACTCCTGCCTTTTTCTTATTTTTTTAATTGCCTTTTCTGTTTTACAGAATGTGAGATTGATTGCATAGCATGGAGTGAAGATTCCTTGTTTCTTGCCATTGGTGAAAGGTACATCTACTTGACTCATGGGTCATACAGTTAGTTTTTGCTATGTGCTGATCAAGGTGTGCTTAACAGTTAAGAAATATCCTCTTGCCAGGGTTTTGGTAGGGACATGGAGAGACAGAAGCGTAATGATTGACATTTTTAAATGTCATTGTCATGATTAGATTCAGATGGATTAAATGTGCCATTTTTATCTGTTGTTGTCATTACCTCAAATTTGATTGGCTGCAAACATGCACCTGATTCCTTAATGACACTGTTGTATACATTGTCATCTCCTGGCAATGATTTCTGTAGAGGCGACTGTAACATCGTACTTGCAGACATTAGTCTTTATACACATTGGAGGTTGCATTTCTCACATTTGTATGTTTAGAGTTAATGTCCTCACCTGTGTGAGGAATAAATAATTATGTGAAAAACAGTTTTAGTGCTAACTTTTCAATCTTGATTAGGTCAGGAACTTTTCACTTTGTCCATTCAGCATCAAGGCAAATACTGTTTTCTCAGGTAAGGTAAAAAACTATTTAAGGTATTTGAAATGTGGACCATTTAAAGTATATCAAATTTTAGATTTGATCTCTGTTTCCCTCTTGGTTGCATCTCAATGAACTGACAACTGAAGTTTCTAATAGGTGCTGATAGATTTTGATTTATATCAGTTTCAATTAATATTCAATGGACATAACATTACAAAGTGAAATTTTGATTTTCTTCTATGGTAGAAATTTTTGTCATTGTACAGCAGAATTTGATGCTTTGCTATCCTATTTTTTTTTCTCTCTCTCAGGAGCTTGAATCCAATGAGAATTTAAAATGCAGTGAACCTACCCTTATTTCTATGTTGTTTACAACTCCTAAATGTGAAGGTATAAAAATAATAATAATAATAATAATGATGATAATATTAATAATAATAGTTAGTAATGATAATGATAATAGGAATGTAACAGTGGACATTCCATCAAAACAATTATTGTCATCCCAACAACATTGAAAAAGCTCTTGTTGTGTAAGCCACTTAATTTTCTGGACTTAGGCTTGAGCTATTAGTAAATGTGCTTCAAAATCCTTTGGTAAATAAGATTTTTTTCTTGATAAATAGATTGCATGTTATTGTGATCTATTTCTGTACAAAACCATGGCAACATGGAAGCTTTTTTTTTTTTGAGTAATAGAAAGCAGATGTTGTCAATGGTGATGTCATCTATTCTCTAATAGAACACAAGTTTGAACCAATCAAAATGCGTGTCTTAAAATAGCTTATTATATAATCAATATTATTAAAAACTGGATCATTGATTAATGCAATTCAAGGCTTTTTATTGGCTTAGCCATTATGGTATATGAGCCAATATACCATAATCTACAAATATGGTAAGTACGCATCAGCTTAAAATTAAGAGGGAGCTAAAGAATTTAATGATTTAATTTAACATTTTTAAGAAAACAATGATTCCACTCGCATTTGTAGGATATGAGATGATTATAGCCAACTCAGCGCTATGTGCCTCGTTGGCTATCTATCATCTCATGTCCAACAGGTACTCGTGGAATAATTGTTAAATACTGGTATATCCTTGAATGGTGTTGAGCTGTAAACCTTGATGGATATTTTAGAAGTAATCTGACTTGTAACAAAGCAGAGAAATAAATTAGAGAAAAGTTCTGTTTATGTCAGACAAATTGAATCTAACTTTAATATTTTTCTTTCTGTTGTGAACAGGAGGCTGTAAGCTAGTGATTTTGTCAGCCTCAGGCGTGATCACTCAGTTTTCCAATCTTTACTTGGAAAAGTTAAATGAAGGTATGTGCCTGTAAACATCACCAGCATGCATTACAATGATATTTCTATTTCTAGTAGTTGCCACCTAGATTTTAATCAAAGGCAAAGAATACTTGTAATTTTGACATCAATATCAAATGGCAACCAGCTGAAATTTTTTTAATTCATTGTGTTGTAAAATTAAGCATAGCGTGACAAAGCGTGACAAACAATTCTGAAGTAAGCTTTGATTACATAATTACAACCGGAAATATGATTTATGTGTAACCCTTTGTTGTTAGAGTATTCGTGAAAATATTCCTACTACGTGTTGCAAAGAATATGGAAACTTGTACGTGTTTTCCGTCTAAAAACATGTAGGAACACTAGTTTCACAGGATCTACAAAATTGTCCTCCCATATCTGTGAAATTGCAGATACGTGGTAATTAAGTTGTTTATTACAAGGGAAACTCGTATTATCTTCTGTAATTTGTATCACATATGATTTAGCTACCATTATGTATATAAGAACCTTGATTCAAGCAATAAAGTAGATTCAGTTGATTGTAAAACAGTTGAGTGTCCTGCACCCGGTGTGCGAGCTCACGTTAGACCCAACATTTGCCTAAGCATCAAAACAGCTTGACGCTAACCGACCCTCAGCCGAAATTATACTACAATTGCAACTTATACAAAATTACTGAACACCGTTGGAAATGCAAAAAAGTCTCTGTAGTGTACAAAATTTCATTATTTTCTCTGTACAAGGGGATGATCAAATTTCAATTCAACCACTAACATGTATTATCTTGACTAATAGCTATTGTCGGAGGACAGTTTGAATTTGTCACTAAAGTAAGTGAATTTGACCTAGTACTATTTAATTGTACATTTATATACTCCTTCCACTTGTACATAAGAAGTGTTTCACGAGCTTCTTTCATTTTTCATACTCATGGTTTATCTATTTTTAATCAACAAAATATCTCATTCCTGATCAGTCAATGGCAAAGGCAAGAATAGGTTATAGATAGCAAATGACCAATTGAAAGAAAGCACAAACATTTTTAATCCTATTAAAAAGTGTTTTGAGTAATAAACAGTGGGGGTGTACAAAGACAAGTGATGGAATGATTTTGCTGCAAATATGGGAAATAAAATGGCATGAAGTGCTGGACAGGTGCATTTTATCACAGTCACTCATGATGTTTTGTAGAGGTTTTTATATTTCTGTTACCTATAGCTCTTGGAAAAACTTTCAAAACATCACCTGTGCCAGTGAATCTTAAAATGCACTCATGTTTGCATGTTTTCTTCTTCACCTTCCTTATTTTATGGTATATATTGTCCAACCGTCATTCATTATATGCAGCTGGCTAAACTGTTCAGTAAAACTTCCGACTTTGATATCACCTCCAACATACCCTTGCCCCTTTAGCACCCAGTCTTCACTCTATGTTCAACCTTATTCCTCACACCCCTAAGATGGAGGAGTTACATAGTCAGGGAAGGGATTCCAAAGAGAAGCCTGAAAAAGGCACCACGTAGTTCCCCCGTTACACAAAATGTTTGACACCTGATTCTGATACCCTGATACCCTTACTTGTCGATCATCATGTTGCTACAGTGTAAATCAGTCATAGTCACCAATTGTGGGGTCAGTAACTTGCTACACACTAAATTTTAGCGGGTGGGGTTCTTTTGAAAGTATTAATATGAGTGTGTTCAGGCAGGTTTTTAGCAATAATAAAAATTATATTCAAACTACTCCACCAAGTATTTTAAAATTTGGGTTGGGAGTAACTTTTACAGTTATTTATTGTGAGATGAGATGTGTGACTGATCCGGATATTGTAACTTCATGACTTAAGTACATGACTCTCTTTTGACTTGTTCACCATCTTTGATAGAGTTCTCCTTGTCATAGCAATCAAATACAACATCTATGCAACTACAGCCGTTCTTCCAAGTGGGACAGTTATGACCTCAAAGTGCTAATTGGCAAGTTCTCCATTCCTCCCCATCTCCAAATTTGAAAATTGTTTGTCCAATTTGTGTTCAAAAATGGCCCATTTGAGCAAGCTAGCCATTGTCTTAAGCCAAATTTAAGCTCAAGCCAACAATATAATGCCTTCTGTGGAAACTCACTTGAAGAATTATTCACAATTGCCACAAATTGTGGAACTACTCTTTGTATCAGCTGCCAGACCCTTGCCTTGCCAACCACATCACACATGAAGGTGTGCATAACCAATACAACTATTAGCTATCCAGAGCCTCTACCAGAGCTCATTGCAATCCTGATTGACCAACAAATTTCTTGCATTCAGGAGCTCTTACCTGAGTTCATTGACATCCCAGTAGACCAAAAGATTTCTTGCAATTGGGAGCTCCTATCAGAGCTCACTGACTTCTTCATTGACACACAACTTCTTGCTATGGAGAGCTCTTGTCAGAGCTTCTGGACTCCCCAATCAGCACACAAACTTCTTTGGATCAGGAGCTCTCTCTGAGTTTATTGAATCCACTATCAACCAACAAACTTCATACAATTAAGAGCTCTTGTTAGAGCTCATTGGATTCCTGATTGACACACAAACTTTATGGAATCAGGAGCTTTTATCAGAGTTCAGTGACTCCCCAATTGACTCAAGAACTTCTTGTGATTGGGAGCTCTCAACAGTGTTGATGGACCTCCTGATCAACACAACTTGCAATGGGGAGCTCTTGTCAGAGTTCATGGACTCCCCAGTTGACACACGAGCTTCTTGAGATCGGGAGCTCTCTCAGAGTTTATTGGATCCACTATCAGCCAACAAAGTTCATACAATTAAGAGCTCATCGAATTCCTGATCAACACACTCAAACTTTATGAGATCAGGAGCTTTTATCTGAGTTCATTGACTCCCCAATTGACTCAAGAACTTCTTGTGATTGGGAGCTCTCAACAGTGCTCATGGACTCCCTGATCAATGCACAACTTCTTGCAAAGGGGAGCTCTTGTCAGAGTTCATGGACTCTCCAGTTGACACACAAACTTCTTGGGAGCGGGAGCTCTTATCAGAGCTCAATGACTCCCAGATTGACTCACAACCTCTTGCAAATGGGAGTTCTTATTAGAGCTTATTGACTCCCTGATCAACACACAAACTTTTTGGGATTGGGCCTTTTTATCAGGGCTCATTGACTCCTCAATTGACTCAAGAACTTCTTGTGGCCAGGAGCTCCTATCAGAGCTTATTGACTCTTGGATGGACACACAAACTTCCCTTGATTGGGAGCTCTTTCTAGAGTTGACTGATGTCCTTATGGACTAAAAGATTTCTTGCTATCAGGAGCCCTTAAGCACTCATTGCCTTCACAATCAACAAACAAACTTCACAGAATCAAGAGCTCATTGAATTCTAAATCAACATGCAACTTCTTGTGATGGGGAGCTCTTATCAGAAATCAACAACTGACTCACATACATCTTGCAATCAGGAGCTATTCTCATATTGACTCATTTATCAACACACAAACTTCTTCAGATTGGGAGCTCCTGTTAAAGCATATTGAGTCACTGATCCACTCAAAAACTTCTAACCATTGGGAGATCTCATCAGAGCTCATTGACTCCCCAATCAAGACACAATCTCCTTGTGATCAGGAGCTCTTATCAGAGTCTATTATCTTCCCAAACGACTCACAAACTTGTTGTGATTGGAGGCTCTTATCAGAGCTCATTTACTCCCCAATTGACACATAAACTTCTAGCAATTGGGAGCTCTTATCAAAGCTCATTAACTCCCAGATTGACTCACAAACTTCTTGTGATATAAAGCTCTTATCAGAGCTTATTGGTTCCTCAAACAACTCACAAACTTCTTGTGACTGGGGGCTTTTATCAGAGCTCGTTGACCACTCAATTGACTCAAACGTCTTGCAAATAGGAGCTCTTCTTATTTGGACCTGCTAATCAACACATAAACTTCTTGTGATATGGAGCTTTTAACAGAACTTATCACTTTCCAGAATGACTCACAAACTACTTGCCATATGGAGCTCAGATCAGAGCTTATTGATTCCATAAACAACTCACAAACTTCTTGCCATATGGAGCTCTTATCAGAGTTTATTGATTCCCTGAACAACTCACAAACTTCTTGCCATATGAAGCTCTTATCAGAGCTTATTGATTCCCTGGACAACTCATAAACTTCTTGCAATTGGGAGCTCTTATCACAGTTAATTAACTCCCTGATCAACCAACAAAGGTAAAGGGAAGTCCACACTTAAGCCACTCGAGCTCTTATCAGAGCCTATTGATTCCCTGAACAACTCACAAACTTCTTACGATTGGGAGCTCTTATCAGAGCTTATTACCTCCCCAATCAACCAACAAAAGTAAAGAGAAGTCCACACCCAGCCAGAACGTATCTTGCTTTCCTTAGCATGAAGTGACAAGGAGTATTTCTTCTCCCCCCTGGAATGGGATGCTAGTCCTTTGCAGGGTTACCCCACCACATTTCATCAGGCTTTCCTGAAAATTTGCTGTCACATCAACCCAAACTTCTGTGATTACAAGCTCTCTTCAGACCTCTTTGACTGCCCAATCAATACAAAAACTTTATATGACTGGGAGCCCTTATCAGAGCTCATTAACTACCTGATTGACACAAACTTCATAAGATGAGGAGCTCATATTAGACTTCATTGCCTCCTTGATACGATTGGGATTGCTTATCAGAGTTCATTGACTCCCCAATTGACACACAAACCTCACATCATTTAGACCCCTTATCAGAGCTTATTGACTCCTTGATCGACATGCAAACTTCTTGCAATCCCAAGCTCTAATCAGACCTTTCGATTGTCCAATGGACACAAACTCCACACAATTGGGTACTCTTATGGAGCTCACTGACTTCCCCATCGACACACAGACTTCATGCAATTGCCACAATCAACATAAAAAAGATGATGTTTACTGGGTGATTGCCACCTGTTGACCCTTGATGCATGCCTAGTGCAGTCCAAGGGTGTTCCTTCAAGCAGTTTGATTGGTGAATAAGAACCATAGACCAGGTTCTGTCAATATATCTGCTATACCACTTTCTTGAAAGTTCGTGGCTATTACACCTAGAAAGTTTCATGCAATATGAAATACTCCTATATGAATTACAAGGTTCTGAAACTCTTCAACGGTTGTCACCACTGAATTTTTTTCCCTTGGTGTGTAGAGCAATATCAAGGGTAAGGGTTTTTGAGCAAACAACATCTGCCATTTATCCTTCTCAACATTTTTTCTATATTACACAAAATGGCTTTTTTATCTCAGCAACTATTGCCATGGTAATGGTTTCACCAACCAAAATTATCCCACATTAAGTATAAAATTATGTCAAAGTTTCATCATCCCTTCAATTTTTTTTGGTTGAGTAGTTCTGAAGATAATGCCGAAACATTGTGGACTGCATAAATATTGGTGCTTCCAAAAGCACTTAACCCCCTCCCCCCAAATAGTCAAGTATCAATGATCTTTGGGTATCAGGCTATCACAATCCAAAGTTAAAGCTCTCATGTAGTAGGGGTGCCACCATATTGTCAGCTTATTTTGCCTTCTCCTCCTCCATACTAAAATACAAGACACTTTTTTAGCTAAAAGGGTTGATACAAGTGGAATCCATTGATGCTGGTGTTGTTCATCAAGAGAAGATAACAGGCATTACTGTTGGACAGCTTTGGGATTCTCCTGTCTACATAACTTATGTAAGATAATGTGATCACAAAAGTTTTACCTCAAAATCTACAAAATTATAAGACTAATAATTAGACTAAGCTATCCTATCGAGGATAGTTTTTTTTTTTCTTCTAAGGTTATGGCACCCAAGGCTTTTACTCTGGTGCTTGTAAGCACTTAATACATTGATACATGATTACTATTTTGAACTGAATTCAAGGCTGTGGTCTAGCAGCACCCAGTGACCCCTGGCGCCATACTTTTGCTCTTGGGTGACTCAGGAATTTTAGTTTTTTCATACAAAGCATATGCTGGGCACCCTGTATTTCATAATTTCAGAGGACTGGGCTCCATTCAATTTTCCATAGAGCACAGCCTTGGAATTCACATAGAGCTGCACTTGTTGAGATGCATTTGCAAAAGACCAAGCTATCCTGGTATCATTTTTTCCTTCTTTTTTTTTTCTCATGAGATATTTGCAATCAAGGCTTTCACTCTAGAGCTCGTAAACAGTTAGTTTAACATCGGGTCCTTTACATGTAAATGTAGGGTGAAGGGGATGCAGCCATTGCAGTCTGGGCCAGCCAAGGAGAGGGAGGAATTTCTCTCATGGATTCGATCAGCTCATACATTCTAGGGGGTATGTGTACTCAAGCTTTCCAAAAATCTTTGTCAGGCCACTGACTAGTTTTTACTGGACAAGAAATCCATCTGGTAGGACAGAAAAGTCTTCCTAAGTGAAAGATGTTATTGTTTAACACTATGAGTTTTCAGCACAGCCTAACAGGTGTTTTAGCTGTGACTCAATAGTGGATTGAATTCCAAACTGTTCCAAGTTTTGATTGCATAATCCAAATTAAATCTTTTTTTTATTGCATCAGACATCCATGACCACAGTTTCTGAGTATGTCAAGCTTTTTCCTGTCAAAACCAGACATTCATTCATAGATATTTGTCCTACAATTGACTGCATTTTTTTAAGCTTGATATTGGCTTAGGATTGAAATAAATACTATGCCTTACAAGCTGGTGTATAATAACTTCCTTCTTATATGATAAGATAACAAAGAAGAAATAGCCGATACTCTGAATAGAATGTACTGCTGGGTGTTTGGTAGATTTTTTTGTCTGGATTCTAGTTGCTTACAAAGATCCCAATCTGCACCTTGAATTATCTGTTCAAAGTAATTTTATTGAACTGTAGTGCCTAGAATAAAGCAGGTTTTAGAAAGTCCACCAGCTGAGCAATACAGCCTTCAAATGTTTATTGATAAATGAGTGACATGGTCTTTTGTACTTTTATCCACAGGCTCTTATGTTGTTAAAGCAAATATGTCAAGTAATGGTCACTTTCTTGTTGTTCTAGATGACAAGGTACATGTGTATTGCCTGTTGTAATGTTCATCATTAATCTCGTGAGGCAATTTAACAGCTGGCTCCCAATGTAATAAGGAGATGTTTTCAATTGTTTTTATTCTTTAATCTTTGAGCCCTAACTAGAAATCATTTTGTGAAAGGAAAACAGAACTTGTGTAGTGCACATGAACCCACATCAGCAGATTTAGATCATCTTTTCTCTGAAGTGTCAGCCTCAATTCTGCAATTGTGGATACAGGCACAATATAATGTACTTGCAGTTTTCCCTTCTACTATAAAGATGAATGACTAGTGGCTTCAAAAACAATTACCTCAGGCATCAAAGAGTTACCGTCATTTTGATTTACCTGTAATTAAGTCATGCATTTTGAAAAGATTTGTAGCCTTAAATTACCATTCATGTCATTGTATCTTGTTTTCCAGAATATGCTAAGCTTGTGGAATGTTTCGTCTTTGACAATGATTGCATTCTGGCCTCATCTCAGCATAGAAGACTTTTTATTATTAAGTTCCAGTAATATTCAAACTCCTGGGATGTCCAAGTATGTGACTGTGTTGATGCTAGATCTTGTAAAGTCTTCTTCCACTTTAATGATTTAGCTCCTCAAATTATTCATTTGGTTAGGATATGGGTATCTTAAAAATCACTCCTCAGTAATTACATTTATACCAAATTCTGCTCAAGATGTACCAGTAGAGACAAGTTTGCTTGGCAAACAGGTTACTACTAGGATAAAGAACCTCTCTACTTAAACAGACTCCAAGCCAATTTTTTGTTGACTTTGATAAGTGTGATTCACAGTTACCATCAACAGTCTACTAAGGACAACCATCATTCAGACAATCATACTCTACAATCAAAGCCTGAGTTCTTTAACAGAAATTAGAGGTGACACATGCATCACTAACACCTAGGTTGTTATGTTAGGTTCTGGTTAAAGGTGCTGATACACTAAAATTACAAGAAGCAGTAGATGCACCTGTTTCATTGCCACAAACTTTGTTTGGTTTCTATGGGGTGTAGTTCATACTTGATTGGTAACAATAATTTCCTGCAAAGTTTGTGAAATCCCTGCATACCTTTGTACCAAGTGATTGTTGTTTATGTAGCTTTTGGAAACTGAGAACCACATTCATCTGGCAGTGGTAAGTTTGACTCAGAGGCTATCATTCTTTTCATTTTTTCATATTTTCAGAAGTGATGATGAATATAAGCTAGTTGTGCTTACAACAGCAGAAAGTCAGGTACAGGTATGATTTATAATCTAAGTCTTGCTGTATTGGAATGACTGTTAGTATTATGTCATAGGTTGTTTTTTGATACAAGGACATCACAGAATGTGCAATTTTGTACAAAACCAATTTCGTTAGTGATGAGACAACATGAAAGGTAGATTCAGACTTTGTATGAAAAAAACAGGCCATAGAGTAACTGCTGGTGCAATAGCTTTTTTGCAACTTTAGCTTCCTTATTATTATCAATTTTGTAATGTTTCAGCAAGGCACCAGACTTAAAAGTGGTTTGGGCTTTTCTAGGAGGTAAATGAAATGACCTCCCTTTCTCATTGAAAGGTACCTAATTATTAACTTATTTACTCCATATATCAATGTTGCTTTACAGATGCGCTATCTTCAAGTATACACATTTCCTACCATGAAGTCAGTGTATTCTCTGCAGGTTTCTGGGTGCTCCCTATTAGCACAGTGTCCAACTACTCAGGTTTGAAATAGCTATTCGTTTCTTTTTTTCTTTCTTTTTCTTTATGGTGCTTTCTCAAGTGGTCTCATGGAGACTTTTGGTGAAGACCCTAAAGACTGTTATAACGTATCTTATGTTTTTGTCAAATTAATTTGTTGTTAAACAATTCTTGCATTGTGCTGGATGTTTTTTTGCAGGAGTCAATCTTTTTCATAGAGGGGGTCTACCAAAACCCACATGACAGGTAATCTGTTTTGAAAGGGGCTTTTGATGATTAAATTTAGTAGCTACATGCTAGTTTGGTGAAAAAACATTGTTGTGCTGAATGTTTTCATTTAATGATGTTTGTCAAATGTGAAGAATCACCAGTAATATGACTGAGTGACATACAGTAGTCGTTTTCTAATTACAGAACAAATGATGTGAGACAGATTTCTAGCATAAGAATCAGATCCCTTACAGAAGCCCTCCCTGAAAACAGGTAATGTGTGACCTCGTAAAAGTTTCTCATTCAGTGATCATTTCGTACGAAAAAGTGGTTTGCCTAGTAAGTCAGTGAGTGTGACCACTTGAGGCTAGTTTGTATCTGCATGCAAGAAACAGGTAATCTGCCATAGAGAAAGAGGGAAACTTTATCTGCTGTGCTGTGTAAATACTCTGTGGACTCAAAGTATATGCATTATTTTTCTAAAAAATAAAACTAACATATTTTGTTAAAGATGCTGTGGGGAAAGTTGTCTGCTCACAAGAAGGACCAGTAAGGAAACATTTTTTTGTTTAGAAAGTTTCCTTGTTCTCAACAGGTTGTCCCGATTGCTTCACAAGCAGAAATTTGATGAAGCTTTGAGGTTTGCAAAACAGTTCAATCTGGATATTGAGGTGAGATTTGATATCAAGAATGATAACTTATTCGTTCTGTTTAGCACCAAGTAGAGGACAAACCATAACTTAGTATTTTTTTTTTGTTTGTGGTTGTTGTTTCCTTAGCTTGTGTACAAAGTCAAGGCTAACTGGCTGCTTGATAAAGTGTCACCATGGAATTACAAAAGCAACCATGGGAAAGAAAACAATGCATTGGAGGGATTTTCTCTCACAGAACTTAAGGATTGCCTCACTCAAATAAAGGTAACAACAATAGCATAGCATCTACTCATAATTATGTGCTACAGTGAAAGTCTATTCTCCCACTGATCATGAAGCTTCCACCTTCGATCCCTTAGTGCCTTAACTTAGACCAGAAACATCTCACACACCATTTTCTGTTAATTTCAGGATGATGAATATGTCTGCAGATGCTGTTTGCAAGCTTCCCTTCCCAGTCTTGATGAGACATTTGATCTGTTGAGCTATGCTAGAAAGCGGGTGAGCCAACCTCCATGCACTTTGTACCAATCAGATGTTGTTACCACAGGAGAAGCAGTAGGGGCTTCACTCTAACTGTAGTTGTGGCCACCCACCTGGCTCCGGTTGTTCAAAGGGCGGATAACACTATTCAACGGATAAATGGCTATCCAGCAGATAAGTGTTACCAAAATGTACTGCGCTATCCACCGGATAGAGATTTATCCAGTGTATAGCGTTATCCATCCTTCGAACAATGGGAGCCTGGTGGATAACCTTACAATGAATGGCATTCCATCTCAGGAAGGGGAAGGGATAGCAATACAGCTAGTTGCTTCATGCCATTGAAATCATTGAAGGCTCTGGCAGGATGGGCATATGCTAACTTCACCTTTTTCCAAGGAGTTTAAATGGTGATAGTTTGCTACTCAAATGACTTTACAATCTTTACCACAGCCTCCACCATCAGCTATTGGTTCCCTTCCATATTTGCTTTTATTAAAAACTGGATCATTGGATAATGCAATTCAAGAATTTTTATTGGCTTAGCTAGCCATTATGGTATATGAGCCAATATACCATAATCTAATATCTGTACATTATAACATCCGGTTTCTTCTTACAAAATAAAGTCGAGAAGATTTGTCTAATATCTTGGGGGCATTTTTTAATAAAACAATTATTTACTTGTCAAGTGATTTTCATCATCATCGAAACCATGTGTGTCATGAAATACTACTTCAACTTTTTCTTACTTGACTATCGTCATATTGTGTAACCATAATGAATTATCCTCGTCTAGTATCTCCCACTCATCAAAATTTCTTCAGCTAAGTCTCCCTTTTTACTTTGTAGCCAACATTTGTACTTGTTATTTTTGTCCTTCCTTTCATCCTGGCTCTTCTTTCTCCTCAGATTTCCAGCAACAATGGAGTGCAAAGCCAAAAGGAAGGTCCCTGTGGTAAACCATCACAATTATTGACTGAGGTGAAGTTTGTGCCAGTATCTTACTGATACTACAAGTACCATGATACCTAATACTCTAATTAGCTTCACAAGATACTTAAGAAATGTATGTTTCCTCAATTTGACAAATTGAATAATATGTGATAATTTTCATTTTGGTAGGTCCTCGAGGCATTGGATAGACTAGCAACTTTTGAGATGGCCTTTGGTGTTGAAAATTTTAGGTGCATTTCATTTCCCCTTAATCTTGTTGTCATCTGTTTTCTTAGTTCATCAGGACTCGAACATATTTATATTTTTCCCTGCTAATTATTGTGCAGTAGATGTAAAGATAAGTCCAAATCCAATTCAATTTAAACCATTTACAAGTAAGAGATCATGTTGCCACCCAGTTGCACTGAGAAAGGGACATCAACAACCCAGTAGAGTAATCTTTCAATATGTGGACCCAACTGATTGCGTAAGAGAGAGATTTTCATGCATGTGGAAGTAAGTTGCCATCCCGCATACCAATTGAGCTGGGGTTTACAAACTATAAAGTGTACCTTATAGATAAATGAAAACACTTTTTTGATCACCTGCCTGAAAAAAATGTGACCTGAACATGATCTGGATCTGGTTTAAAATTAAACAACAATTCTAAGTTAACGAAGTTTATGATTTTTAAGGAAAGGGTTAGTTACAAATGGCGCAGCACAGGAAGGAATCAATAGAGAATGAGAATAGCTATTTGTTCCTCATTTCAGTATTGAGATTTTTTTATGTTGTCTTGCAGTGGCCCCCAGTGGCAGTACTTTGCCTCTGCTGATCTCCTTGTTGAACTGACAAAATGCCTGCTTTCCAGCAAGGTGACCAGTGCAGTCATCATTTGGAGAAGACATCAGGTATAGTGACACTGTGTCTCAAAGGCACAAAGAAACAGTAGGTAAATGGTTTAAAACACATGACTGAATTTGAAGTGAGATTTTTGTACACCTCTAAATTTTGAAGTCCTTATTTATTTTCATCTCATGATTTAAGTTACCATAAATCTTCAAATAAGCCCCTCAGGGGGACTATTTATTTCAGGTACTTTGGGGAGTGTGGAGGCGCGGTGGCCTCATGGATGGTGCGCTCAACTTCGGATCGAGTGGTCTGGGTTCGAGCCCCGGCCAGGACATTGTGTTGTGTTCTTATGCAAGACACTTTACTCTTACAGTGCCTCTCTTCACTCAGGTGTATGAATGGGTACCGGCAAATTTAATGCTGGGGGTAACCCTGCGATGGACTGGCATCCCATCCAGGGGGGAGTAGAAATACTCCTAGTCGCTTCAAGCTACAGAAACCGGAGTTAAGCACCAGCCTAATGGGCCACTAGGCTTGTAAAAAGACTTTACCCCTTACCTTTTACTTTGGGGAGTGGCCTCTATTAGAGAGAGGGGGTGCTTATTGATTTAGCCTGATGTTCACTTCCAGGATACAATAGGAAATGATGTACCATATTTATTCAAAAATTGTGCTCATTGTACATTTTTTGATTTACCAAATTGGCAGAGTCAAAATCCTTAGTAAGGTCTGATGAGTTGTATGATTTGTCATAATCAGTAAAGCAGAAACACAACAAAATGGCAAACTAAAGTCAAATGAACAACAATCATGAAATGCTTCATTGTGCTAGTAAGGCTCAATTACAGTTCAAAATCAACCGTTTCATCATCTTCATCCAAAACTACATGTGCCATGTCTTCCAGTGCCACGTCTTCTGAAATCATTTCAAACAGATCTTCCATCTCTTCCTGATCAAGCTGACATGCTTGTAACTTTGGCAGTAGGCTTTGACATGGACCATGCTT